TTCATCCAAACGATTCTGATAGGATTCTGATTATTATCTTTAACAGTGACAGAAATTCCTGATTGAAAATTTAATAGAGACATACATAATACAAATATATATATATATATATATACAAAAGATCTTTCGATGCACCTGTCAATACACAATGATGCAAAGACACAATGACGCGATGTGAATATTCATTTTCATTTTCAATTGCGAGTTTATGGTATACCGAGTTGCTGTAGGGTTTTATAATGTTAGACAATATTATAGAAAATTGAATTTTGTACAAATTTGTCATATAGTTTATTTAAATCAGATAGACCGTTCAAAAGTTACAAGAGATATACCTAACATAAATTTTTAGAGCAAATTTTTTATAAGCAAAAATGGGTACTGTAAAGTATTATTTTAATGTATACCGAGTTGATGTATGGCATTATGATGTTAGACAATATTATAGATAATTGAATTTTGTATATTTTTCCTTAACATAGTAATAATTTCAAACGGATATTTTAATAGATATAAATTTATTTACACTGCACCTTTGCCAAACATCATATTGTAATTGTCTAGAATATTTTTAATTTTTGGTTGAGTTTTTTAAGTACACAGAGTTGCTGTAGAGTTTTATATTATGAGGCAATATTGTAAAGTATTCTATTCTAAACAAATTTTCCAAATATACTTGTTAGTTTACATTTATAGTTTAAATACAAAAGCAACTAACAAATCAGGTAATGTATTTGAGAGAGTTCAACCTGCATTCATTTATTATATCTCTTGTAACTTTTAAACAGTAGACTTAATAAACTCAAAATATTCTGCAAATTTGTTCAAAACTGTCTAACATCATAATACTCTACAACAACTCGGTATACTTAAAAATTGCTTTCAAACGCATAATATTGTGATGAGTGTATTTATAATTTATAGTACCTATTTAGTGTATTCATATCTCTTGTAACTTTTGAATGAGCTGTTTGATCAAAATAATGTTTTTCGCAAATTTGTTTAAAATTTAATTGTTTATATTGTCTAATATTATGTAACCCTTCAGCAACTCGGTATACTTTAAAATTGCTTTCAAACGTATAATATTGTGATGAGTGTATTTATAATTTCCCGTACGAATTTAGCGTATTTATCTATCATATTTCTTGTAACTTTTGAATGAGCTGTTTGATCAAAATCATGTATTTTGCAAATTTGTTTAAAATAAAATTGTCTATAATACTGTCTAACATCATAACACCCTACAACAACTCGGTATACTTTAAAATCGCATTTAAAAACAACAAATATATAACTCAACCACCTTTTCCAAACAATTGCATTATATAATAATGGTCCCGGAAGAAGAAGAGTTTTCGTTTATTATTTTCGCAAATATTTTATTTTTTTGGCGATTAAATTAGCATATAAATGAGAGAGTGAAATCTGTTCCCTTGTTTTATGTTTTTTACATCCCTTAAAATTATGACAACCCTCGAGCAATAAAAATAAAATTATGCATAAAATATGTCCAGCAATAAAAAAAATATGTTTATAAACCGTAAAAACGAATATCTCTCGTTTTGCAGATGGGGATGAAAATAATTAGAGAAAAATTTATATATAATTTATATATATAATATATATATATATATATATATATATATATATATATATACATATGTCAAAAAATATTAAAAGCTCCCAATACACTTCAATGAATTTAATAAACTTTACATTTCACCTTTGTTACTGTTTTCTATATTAGTATTTTTTTTTATTAAATGATTTATAACTTTTAAAATATTTGTCTATTATAAATAGTATGTTTGGCAAATTTGTACAAAATTAAATAATTCACAATATTTTCTAACATCATGATGATCTAAAGCAACTCGGTATACTCATAAATCCGCAAAGAAAATGGAAAGTTATTTTTAAAAAAAAATTGATATTATTATGATAAGAGTCATGTACTAGAAGAGCAGAATTTCGTTTATTAACGCAAAGGGTTTGTTTTGGTTTTCAGCATTATTCTAATAAAAGTCACATCTATCACTATATATTGTCATATATCGTTGAAAAGTATGTGAAATCATCTATAAATCTGTATATAACAATTTGTAAATGTTGTAACAAAATTATATGAAAATAATTCGCTGAACTTTTAAATGTGAAATGCCCATATTATTTTAGCTCAAAGTTTTGCATTAAATTTGCAAGTATTTTGTTATAATTTTATTCAATTTATTTTTATTGTTATCTATTGCTGGAAAGCTCATGAATTTACCTATTTATTTATATATAGCACTAGAGAACTTTTCAAACAAAATTAATTTAGGAAAATATTTGAAATTTAAAATTTAGTTAGCCATTTGTAGATAAAAAAAGTTTATAAAATTGTCTACAAATCTGTATATAACAATTTGAATCTGTTGGAACAAAATTATGTAGAAGTAATTCCATGAATTTTGAAATTGAAATCTTTGTAAGGTGTTCATATTGTTTCAGCTCCAACGCCTAGGTTTGAAATTATATTTATTTTGTTATATTTTTATTGAATATATTAACATTATTATCTATTTTTAAAAAGCTGATAAAATTATTTACAAACTTATATAAAGCACTTAACAACTTATAAAATAAAATTATACGTAAATTTTTAAATTTGTTTGTCATTAGTGGATTCAATGTTTGAATTTTTTTTTATTTTTAGCTTTATTCTATTAAAAGTTACCTCAATTGCTATATATTACTTTATACCGTTAAAATGTCCATAAAACTGTTAATAAATCTGCATATAAAAATTTGTAGCTGTTGGAACAAAATTATATGATTATAATTCGCTGAGCTTTTAAATTAACATATTTGTAAAGCGTCCATGTTGTTTTAGCCCCAACGCTTTGGTTTAATTTGTATTTGGTTTGGTTGGTATATTTATTTTGTTATAATTTTATTATATATAAAAAAATTGTTACATTTTAATAAAAATCTAAAAAAAATATCGTTTATTAACGCAAAGGGGGTTTAAAAAGATAAACACAGATTCAACAAATTTTCTGAGGTCAACATTCTTTTCCTTTTGTAAAATAATAGGGTTTTTGCTATTGAAAATATAATTTAAATTAATGATATGTTCCGAGAGCATTGTCTTGAACTGATTTTTATTTTTTGAATTGCAAATGTGTTGGTTCATTCTCTTGTAAATTATTGTCTCTTGTAGTTTAAAAAATAAATAAATTAAAGAATTTCAAAGTTACAGAAGACATCGAGTTGCTAACTATTAATAGTGCAAAGGGCTATGAAATGATTGAATAGGTAAATTAATTAATTATTAAATAATTACTTACTGTGCCCTTTCCTCTTCGGGATTGTTCAAATATGCTGCTGGGCTCCTGTTAATGTTGGCTTCTAACAATTCACCTTGCGATACGAAAATTCGGCCAGGTACGAGATTGTTGTGGGCTCGGATTATACTCTAAAAGAGGAAAGGGATATAGTATTATATATAGTATATATATATATATATATATATATATATATATATATATATATATATATACTAGATGACCCGACAGACTTTGTCCCGTACCCACATCTACGTTTTTTTTAATATCATATACTAATATTATCCGTTCAGTTAAAAATAATAATTATTGTTTTTCGAATTACTATTTACCTCCAATATATTAGTGATGTTAAATGTAGAACTGCTTCAAATAAAATTATGATTCTCAGTTCCCACAGTTACACTTTAATTATCCCTTTAACAAATATTAAAATATCTTCAATAAAATTGTATATAAAAAATTATACACTGCAATTTATAGAACAAATTTATTTCCAATAGCTCAATTTATTTTAATGCCAAAGGTTATATAATATTTTAGTCATACCTATAGATGTGGATGTATAAATGAATGAGTTTTTGTTTATTCACGACTAAAACATTGATTTTCCAAATGTATCACACAGAAAATTCATCGTCTGTCTTTGTGATTTATAGCATAAGATATACGCATTGAAAATTGAAGTCTTTTAAAAGGTGTAACAAATTCAGAAAGAATTGATATATAGCATTCGCGGTAAAGGTAAATATCACATTGAATTTTTCTACCCAAAATAATTGCTTCAATAATGTTGCCTATAATTTTTATAATTTCGTACCCTGGCTTTTAGTAATTTTAATATCTAAATTGCATTTTTCTCACTATTCAATATACATTATTACTTAAGTTTATATTTGAAGTGAATTAATTTATCAAATCCTGTTCACATGTGCTCTATTCAACCTACGATCAATAAAATTATTGCAGTAAATGGAGAGGAAAAAAAGGTGTGCCCTGCGAATTTTTTTACTGTGCTTCAATTTCCTTGATATTTTGGAAATAGGCTAATCTTAATCTTAAGTTCAGAAGTGAAAATAATTTGCACCCTCCGCATTAATTGGATTATAACTCTTTTAATTCTGATTTTATGAGAACTTGTAATATACTAATTTAAAGGTAATTAAATGAGCTACAATTTTCTCTATCATAAATTTTACCGTAACTTCTCTTATTTTGAAACGGCGAAGGGTTAAAGGGCTCGAAAGACACTCTGTTTGGACAGCCGCGCACTTTTTAAACAATCATAACTCTATCAATATTTGTATAACAGAAAAATAATAAAAAGCAATAATTAGTCAGAAAAAGACCTTGAATTTTCATCTATATACCTTTATACGTATCTTTTATTCTTTCAGAAATATAATAATGAGAAATTGGTTGTTTTTTTTTAATTTTTTTTTATGAAATCATGAGTTTTTTGAAAATCGTTTGTACGAATGTTATGGTATTTTCTAGAATCCATCAAGATCTCTTAAACCAAGTTAATTCTAGATGGAATACGATGATTTTTAATTTTGGTGGAAATGGCACTCATAAACTTGAAAATTTGATTTAAATAAAAAAAACATTGTATGCGTCTTTTATTTGCATGATAGCTCACTCATTTTACACGCAGAAGTACTCATTTTAAAGCTCATTTTGAGCACTATAAAACCCCATTTTTATATCTAGCCTAATATTGTTCCTAGAAAACTTTATAAAACACCAATTTATTGGGATTTTAATTGATATAATTTTATTCATTACATGATTTTCGTTAAAATGTTTATTTTTGGAGATATTTGCAAAAAGCGATAAACAACGCCAAAAAGAAACGAATTTTTAGTAGCCAGTAACTTGAAAAGTATTTACTTTTTTGAAAAACGTTATTAAACATTTTTCTCTTATATTAGTTCTTTTATCGATGAGAAGAAATGTCATAAACCCCCCCCCCTCCCCCGGGAAGTCTAAATTATTTTCACTTTTGAACTTGAGAGCAAGATGTACCTAATTCCAAAAATTCATACAAATTGGAGCACAGTAAAAAAATTTTGACACAAAACGCTCCATTGACTTGAGTAAATATTTCGTATCCAATGCCAAACATATGAATTTTTGACACAATGAAACTTCTAGATAATTTTTTGAGAAAGTAAATTATTTTTGTATTGTGATTTAGTAAAGTAAGGCAAAACACGACTGCATTAGTTAAAAAATAATAATCTGTCAAATTAATTATAAAGGGTATATACTGTGCTAAATATATAATGTGTCTTCTATTATTTTAATTTTTGGCACATCTCAGCTGCTTTTCGGCAATAATAATGTAGACATTACATTTTTCTCATTCATAATCATAAATATATTATATTTTAATATTGCCTTAGCCTATAAGTGAATAGAAATGTTTGGCAAATGACAGTCTTCATTTGTTTTTGATGTCAAACAATGCCTCAAATATTTTCAAAGTCAAACAGTGATGAGCGGTTTTTTGTATTTTTTTCTATTTATTTCTACAATCTAACTATATTCCTATGAATCAGAAAATACTAAAAAAATCCCTTAACAAACTTCAGAAAGATTAATCAAAATCCGAATAATAGTTTAGGAGGATTATTTTTTCATACACCATTACAGAAGAATTTTATATATATATATATATATATATATATATATATAAGAATCTTATATATAAAATTATTCTGTAATGGTGTATGCAAGAATAATCCTCCTAAACTATTATTCGGATTTTGATAAATCTTTCTGAAGTTTGTTAAGGGAATCATATAATATGATATATATATATATATATATATATATATATATATATATATTACCTGGGTGATTCCCTGAGTCATAGCCTCGTAAGTTTCCCTGACAAAACCCAAAGTAGTGATGTCAAAAATCAGGTCCATCAGGTATCCTCCTGGTGCACCATGGGTATGGGTACCACTGATCAGGACATTCTGGTCATTGTAGAGATCTCCAAAACGTTTTTGGAGGTTTGCAATAATCTAAAAAAATAGAAATAAAAATATAACAAAAACTACAAAAACAATTATTTGTCTTGGTTGGGATTTGTATAGTTCAAGTGCAGTTTTAAAGTATACCGAGTTGCTGTAGGGCGTTATTATATTAGACAAAATTATTCAAAATTTAATCCTTTATAAATGTCCTAAATATATCATTCGTCTTAAACAAATAATTTAAAAGTTACAAGAGATATAATAAACTACACAACTACAAAAATTCACATATGCAATTATCTATTTTTAATGTTAATTTTGAAGTATACCGAGTTGCTGTAGGGACTTGTAATATTAGACAAAATTATACACTATATAATTTTAAACAAATTTCCCAAATACTTGATTTACCCCAAACAATTATTTCAAAAGATACAACAAATACAATAAACAAATGCACAATTTGTGCACCGGATTAAGTTTGCTCGTCTTGTACTATATACAGCACATCTGGCCGACGGCTTACTTCATTTCCCAATTAGTTAATATTCAGTTATTAATGTAATTATAAATTTATTTAAAAAAATTACTTACATCTCTTCTCAAAGCTTGGCCAATCATTCCGGCGTCAACACTGACGAAGACATTTCTTGAAGTTCCATCATCAAAGACAAAAGCCCTTGAAAATTGTCGAAGGTGGATTCCTGTGCCTTTTTGGGCTATATTTGCATAACCCATCTAAAAAATAGACAAAAAATAATTAGAATTATTTATAAAAATAATATATAATTTAAATAATTTATTTTTCTCAATTTATATCTTCAATCCATCAATTGCATTCATTTCCAGCTATTTCCATATTTTTATTTTTCATTGATAAATTTTCACAAACGGAAATTGAAAATGTTACACGTTTTTCATACAAAATGGTCAATCTATATGAATTGATGAAAAATGACCGGATTTATACGAAAAAGAGATAAATTTGCAATTGAATTTATGAACTATTGTGTAAATAGAGAGATGTTCGAATATTTTGACATAAAAAGTTCTTTGTTATTTTATAAAAAAATCGTAGTTTAAATAACAAAGATATTTTAAACAATATTGAAGTGTATAGAATTTTTGTGTTAACTTTCACTAATTGTAAGATTAATAAATAAATCTTCTTCAAAACATGTCTTGAAAAAATCTGAATTGATTTTTTTACATAGAATTTATCGAAAAATACGTCTGTGATTTTTTTAGTTTTATTCAATTTACCAGGTAGAATTTAGTCAAAATTTACTATTTTATATTTGTCTATTTTTTTCTTTACTAGATAAAAATGAATTTTTGATACAATGAAACATCTAAATAATTTTTTGAATAAGTAAGGCAAAACACGACTGCATTAGTTAAAAAATAATAATCTGTCAAATTGAATTGATTGGATAAATATAACCAGAAATATTGTAGTTTTTACTCTGAAAGTCCAAGAATTATATTTTTTAAACTGCATTTTGTTTTCTATGAATTTTATTCAGTTTTTAATATCTAATAAAACTATTTTTACTAAAGTTCTCATAAACACTTTTTTTATACATTTTTATTGCAGGAACTAAAGTTCTAGAAAATTTGAAAGTATTACTTGTTTTTTAAATAATATTCTCAGAATTTGATACACTTGTGAATCGAGTTTTCTAAAATTACTATATGTGATTATTTTATATAGATTATAAAAAAAATTCTAAAAATCTGAGAAAAGCAAGTTTTACTTTTGAAGTCTGAACGATGATACTTTGTTACTTATTTTGGCTCTACGTAAAAATCTGGAGGACTTTTTGAGAAACTTTTTAGATGAGCTAAAACTAGATAAAATATACTAAATTTTTTGTAAATTACTAACTTTTGTATATTGTAGTAGAAAAATACTACAAGCCCTAGAACACAAACTTATACTCCTTGAGAGTATTAGAAATCTAGCAATGTGTACTTTTTTACATGTTTGAGCTATAATTCTAATTCTAGCAAATTTTTCAAAAATTTAGGTAGATGCGCAGAAACTAGATACAATTTATAAATTTTTTTGTAAATAACATTTTTTTGTATATTGTATTGAAAAAATACTACAAGCCCTAGAACACAAATTGATACTAGAAATCTAACAATGTGTACTTTTTTACATGTTTGAGTTTTAATTATAGTTCTAGCAAATTTTTCAGAAATTTAGTTAAACGTGCAGGCAGAAACTACATAAAATTTACAAAAACTCTTATTATCATCATTTTTCCCAAAAACAGTATAGTTTACAAACTACAAGCTTTTTCTCAAGAATATAAATAGTGATCCATTACCATATGCAAAACTCATATCGTATCGTCCATCTCTCGTATAAATATAAATAAATCTTCATATTTTCCTCCACCATAAATCATTCACCATTTATCATAGTCCTCTTAGAAATAACCTCAATGCACTCAACTAAAGTTAAATATTTATTCAAACTTTTTTACGCCACTGCATCAATGTCATTTTTATAAAAAAATGAGGAAAAATAGGAAAAAAATGCATTTGATACGAATTCAATTTTAATATTCGTCTGGATGTCCTTTGAAATGATATATGATGTGGTCAGTGATTTATTACTGTTTTTGTTTCGTTGTTGAATTATTATTAGGCTGGGGACACATGGTAAAAGGATACAAAAATCCTTAATTCAATTTTAAAAAAATATTGATATTTCTTATCAGTATTTTGTATTAAGTAGTAGGAGTTTTGCTCGATTTACTCATAAACGATAAGTCCTAGTTTAAAATGATATATGAGAAAAATATTTGTAATACAATTACAATTAAAATGATATATAATTTAATATGTGTCTACATAATAAGTTTCCTGAGAGAATTACATTTTTGTCTAAATTGTAGGAGTTTTGCTCGATTTTCTCCAAAACCGTAAGTCCTAGCTCAAAATCATATATAAGCAAAATATTCACAAAAAAATGACGAATTATTTGATATATAACTCGATATATGTTTGTCTATAATTCTAGTAAGAATTTATTTATAATTGTATAATTTATTTATAATTGTAAAAAAATTCTATGGAATTGTAGGAGTTTTTCTCAATTTTCTCCAAAACTGAGAATTTTAGCTCAAAGTTATATATAAGCAAAATAATCGCAAAAAATTCCGAATAAAACGTTATAAAACTCGATATATGTTTGTCTATAATTTTAGTGAGAATTTATTTATATTTGTATAATTTATTTATAATAGTAAAAAATTTCCATGGAATTATAGGAGTTTTATTCGATTTTTTCCAAAACCGTGAATCTTAGCTCAAAATTATATATGAGCAAAATATTTGCAAAAAAATACGAATTAATCGATATATAACTCGATATATGTTTGTCTATAATTTCAGTGAGAATTTATTTATATTTGTATAATTTATTTATAATTGTAAAAAATTTCCATTGAATTGTAGGAGTTTTGCTTGATTTTCTCGAAAACTGTGAATTTTAGCTCAAAGTCATATATAAGCAAAATATTTGCAATTAAATTACAAATAAAACGATATAAAACTCAACATATGTCTACATATAATTTTTTAGAGATTTTTTTATTACATGTATAAACTAATAAAATATTAGTTACAGTAAAAGTTGTATCTAAAATATCAATTTTAACCCATTAGAACAATTATTTACACATTCAGGGAACTTCACTTCGGCCTTAAGGCACATTGTCACTTACAACTAGTTTTTTTTAATAAAATTAATTTAAAACCATAATTTTGCACCTTCTCAGCCTAAACCGGTAGGCCTGGATGTTTTTTCACCTGGAACGACGCGTCATTTTAGGTTGAAGCAATATTAGGCGTACCGGTTTGTAAAAAAATAGCTAAAATTGAATTTTTATTGATTAAGTTGATTATTTTTAGGTACCAAGAAGTTTGTGCAACTTGTCTTAAGGCTGAAATGTTACTTGCAACTAGTTTAGATTACAAAAAAGTATAAAAAATACAAAAAATGCAAACTATAACTTTTTCTTTGAGTTTTCATCAACGTTTAGAAGTGTTTCGGATAAAAATTTATTTTAAAGCGATTATTAGTACTACAAAGCTGTATTTCGGATATGTTATTTCTAAAAGTATATTATAAATGTAAAAAATACAAAGACAACAAATTCTAAACAAAAATTTTGATTTGCGACCCAAAGATACAAAAACTAAATCATACCCCTTGTGGCTATAAATCCACATTTTTTTACCAAAATTTAATTTTCTAAACTAAAATAATACCTTTGTGTTATTTTGCGTGTTATGAATGAATTCTAGAAATGTGTGTTTGTCGTTTATTTAATGTTTTTGCGTAGATTGTGTTATCTCGAGCGGAAAATTCAATTTATGTCAGGTGAGAATTCGCTGAACAAATATGACATTGAGATAATATGTATATGAATACACACGTTTGTACTAATGAACTGATCTATTTTGTATAATAATATATATATATATATATATATATATATATAATAAATTATAATTTATGCAGTAGGTGCAATCACAATTTCATAAATTCATGTACTAATGTTTTCTTCCACAGCTGTTACATAAGTCTTAATTAATTTCCAAATTAATTTTATGCTTAGAAATTTTGACAGAGTTGTATAGAGAAATTTATTCTGTATATATATATATATATATATATATAATATTTTAATTAAAAATTCATTTGACATAAAATTATGGTGCACGTACTTCTAACAAATTATGAAACGTAATTACAAATTACTTTTTATAATATTTAGAATTTTTAGACTTTTAATTTCAGAATTTACTTTTAATAATATTTAGAAAATATGTTAAATTTTCTTATCGTGTTTATCGTTTTTTGTTTTTATTTTCTCAGCAAACAGATTTAGATATAAACGATATTAATTTCATAATTCGGTGTTCCGCAAGGTTTACTTTTTGGCCCTTTCTAATTTTCAATCTATATAAAGATTCAATGATTAATAATTTAATAATACTTTTTTATGTGGATTTAAAGGATAGATTACTAAATATTTAATAATTAATAATTTATTTAGAGAATTTAGTATATGACATACCAATCAATAAGATTTAAATTATAAATTACAATTTCAATAATTTACTGAAAATTTTTCCTTGTAGCCTCAGGTCAGTATGAGTAATAATAATGCGATTCTAAAGTATACCGAGTTAATATAGGAGGTCATAAAACTAAACAGTATTATGAATAATTAAATTTTAAACATATTTGTCAAATATTTTACTGAAATCAAATCAAACGTTTAAAATTTACAATCAACCTACTAAATAAATGCACTATCAATAGCTCCATTCAACTTAGATTTACACTGTTTCAAATGCAATTTTAAAGTACACAGAGTTGCTGTAGGACTTTAGAATATTAGACAAAATTATGAACAATTTAATTTCAAACATTTTCTTACTAATATTCCATGTACATTAGACAAGCTGTTTAAAAGTTACAAGAGATACAACAAATGACACAAATTCAATTTAATACATTTCCTTGTTGCCACAAGTCAGTATAATAATGCAATTTTAAAGTAGACCGAGTTGTTGTAGGACTTTATAATATTAGACAGTATCATAAATAATTTAATTTTAAACAAATTTGTCAAATATTTCATTGAATTCGAATAAACCGTTTAAAAGTTACAATCAATATGCTTTAAATAAAACTTGCCTTATTTTAATTTATTTTATGTTTTAAGATGATGTGAACGTTTTGTATAAAATAGCATAACGGAGTACAAATCTTTATATATATATATATATATATATATATATATATAACTGTTAGATTCCATTGTTAGATATCTCTGAATAAATCAAATTAAATTTAATTCAATTAGCGTCTTTGTATTCGCAAGAAAAAAAAATATACGTCGAACAACTCTATATGATAAAATTATATGACCTCCGATAATAAAAATGGATTTATTATTATATTAGGTTGTCAAATATCTCCCTTCCGCTTTTTTGCTCTTGGTTTATAATACAAAAAGGCGGAAGGGAGATATTTGACAACCTATTAATTATTTATTTCACTGATATTAGTTTTATTACTATAATTTATTTGATTGAAATTAATTTTGTTATTAGTATTTAGTAACATTTATTTTTTATCATTTGTCATTATTTTTATTTTATTAAAGTCAGTTTAGTATTATTGATTTTTATTCAATTAGTATTAATTTATTGTTATTATTTGTTTTTTAAATATTAGTTTGATTATTATTATTATTTTATTAATATTAATTTCTTTATATTAATTATTTTATTATTTTTAATTTATTTATTGATATTTATTTAATTTAATTTCATTATTATATTTTATTAATTATATTTTTATCTTTATTTATTTCATTAATTTAAATTTTATTATTATCATTCATTTTTATTTACTTAATTAATCAACATTAATTTATTTCATTAAATATTAGTTTTAACATTTTTTACTAGTATTAGCTTTTCCATTATTATTTAGTTTATCAATATTGGTTTAGTATTATTTATTTTTATTTTATGAATACTAGTTTTATTGTTATTATTTATATTGATACTATTATTTATTGAATTTCTGTTAGTTTTAATTTAATCGTGAAATTTATTAGTGCAGTTTTGTAATATTATATTTGTTTTAGAATATTTTTATAATAATTCTAATTAATTTTAATAATTTCTAAATAATTTTAATTGGTAATAAATACAAAAAACTATCAGTTTCTAAACTCATAAAATATTAGCACCTTATATCCATAAATCACTACTTGAGAATTCTTTTAAATGCACTATTTATACTAAATATATATCCCTGAGCATCAATTTATAATTTAATAATTTTTTTTTTTTCTATTATATATGAATGTATTATAATATTTTATATAAGATAAAATTTTATGAAGCTTTATTTAAGATCAGATGGTTTTGTCAAATCATTTTTATATTATGAATAACTTAAAAAAATATATATAATAATTAGTAATTAAATAGTGCTAATTTTTCTACAAAAAATTAGTAGCAAAATAGCGCCCAGCTCTCCGTCTATCAAAGGTACTTGAACCGCATAGTACTTTTATATTTTATGCAAATGTAAAGTTTATTACACCAAACGCATATTGAAATCGAAAAATATTTATAAATATAAATATGTATATATATATATATATATATATATATATATATATGTATATATATATATATATATTCATTTCTTGCAACCTGTTTTCATTGCAAAATTTATCTTTTGACATTTTGTAAACGATTTTTCGAAACTGTCTGTCGGCTTTTGTTGCATTAGTGATACTTTCGATTTTAATTTAATTTTGTAAATATCATATATATATATATATATATATATATATATATATATAATTATTTAATTATTTTACTTACAAAGTTGACTTCGGCAATTGGCCCAGTACAATCTGCAATTCCGACACCGATTTTATATTCGGCAGATGCGGCCCTGGAAACCAAAACTAGGGCCACTGTGGCCAGTACGGCCCTGCTAAACATTATTTTTGACTTTGATCACCTGAAAAAAAAAATAATTATTATAGATGAAAATTAATTTTTAAGGAATATGTTGATGTTCAAGAAATACTAAGGGATTTTTAAAATAATACTAAGGGATTTTTTTTATTAAGAAAAAAGTGGCCTATAGGCAAGTTGCATATTAATATCTCAATTCAGAGTTTATTGAAGTTTTATTAAAATTAAAAAAATAATTAAAGTGGTTAAAAAATTTAGATAAAAATTAAATATCTTGCAAAAGATTTGGTAGAGAATAATACATTAAATATTGTCTTGACAAAATATTTTTGATTTTCTATTGCAATTTATGAGTATACCGAGTTGTTGTAGAGTGTTTTGGTGTTAGACAATATTATAGACAATTTAATTTTGTATAAATTTGCCGAATATTTCATATACTTCACTCAAATAGTTTAAAAGATACAAAATTTACAATAAACTACTAAATATGTGTCCTTTGCCACCAAACATACTCGTATACAGCGAATCTATGTTTGTAAAAGTATGATAGTCATTTTCTAATTTCATTTATGGGTATACCGAGTTGCTGTAGGGCTTTATGAAAATAGATAATGTTTTAAATAATTTTTTTTGTATAAATTTGCCAAATACTTTATTCATATTAGACAAACGGTTTAAAAGTTACACAAAATAATATAAAGAAATACATATATGTTTAAGATCAAGTGCAAGAGTTGTGCAGTTCATATAAGTAATCAAACGCTCTCGAATTTATTAATATGTTTTAACGGGGATTTTAAAGTATACCGAGTTGATGTAGAGTTTTATAATATTAGACAACAAACTGAACAATTGAATTTTGTACAAATTCACAAAATACATCACTAAAATTAGACAAACGGTTTAAAAGTTACAAGAGATATAATAAATAAGTGCAATTTTGCCGATTTTATCGTGCACATAAAGTGACATTGCAAAAGTTCATTTTAAACGTAGTAGGTTTAGAGAATATCATAAACAAATATGTTTTGAACAAATTTATCAAATATTTCATTTACGTTCAAAAAATTTCTGAAAAGTTGCAAAAGTTATACACATGAGTTCTTTACCAAATTACTTATATTACTATATTTACCTAACAATTTTAAAGTATACTGAGTTGTTGTAGGACTTTATAATATTAGACAGTATTAAAAATAATTTAATTTTGAATTCAAATAAACCGTTCAAAAGTTACAATCAATATATACTAAATAAATGAACTATCAATAGCTCCATTCAACTTAGATTTATGCTGATTTCAATTGTAATTTTAAAGTACGCAGAGTTGCTATAGGTCATTATAATATTAGACAATATTATAAATTATTCCATTTTGTACAAATTTTTCAAATATACTACTTACACCCTTCAGAAAGTTTGAAAGTTAAACATTATTTAATGAAAAATGCACTCTTGCCGATTTTATCGTGCACATAAGGTGACATTGCAATAGGTTATTTTAAAAATATTTTTAAAGTATACCGAGACAATATCATAAACAATTATTTTTTGCACAAATTTATCAAATATTTCATTTACGTTCAAAAAAATTCTGAAAAGTTACAAGAGTTATAATAAATAAATGCACATATATTTATCTAGCGATTTTAAAGTACACCGAGTTGATGTAGGACTTTATAATATTAGACAGTATTATAAATAATTTAATTTTGAACAAACTTGTCAAATATTTTACTGAAATCAAATAAACCGTTTAAAAGTTACAATCAATATATACTAAATAAATGCACTATCAATATCTTCATTTAAGTTAGATTTATGCTGATTTCAATTGCAATTTTAAAGTATACAGAGTTGCTGTAGGTCATTATAATATTAGACAATATTATAAATAATTCCATTTTGTACACGTTTTTCCAATATACCACTTACACCCTTGAAAAAGTTTGAAAGTTAAAAATTATTTCATGAAAAAATGCACTCTTGCTGATTTTATCGTGCACATAAGGTGACATTGCAATAGCTTGTTTTAAAAATATTTTTGAAATTTTAAAAATATTTTTAAAGTATACCGTAGGTTTAGACAATATCATAAACAATAATTTTTTGTTTCAAATATTTTATTTACGTTCAAAAAATTTCTGAAAAGTTACAAGAGTTATAATAAATGAATGCACAATTGAGTTCTTTACCAAATCACTTATATTATTATATATATCAAGCGATTTTAAAGTTTACGGAGTTGTTGTAGGACCTTATAATATTAGACAGTATTATAAATAATTTAATTTTAAACAAATTTATCAAATATTTCATTGAATTCAAATCAACCGTTTAAAAGTTACAATCATAGTGCATTGATTGTATTGTTATATAAATGCACTATCAATAGCTCCATTCAACATAGATTTATGCTGATTTCAATTGTAATTTTAAAGTACACAGAGTTGCTATAGGTCATTATAATATTAGACAATATTATAAATAATTCCATTTTGTACAAATTTTACAAATATACTACTTACACCCTTCAGAAAGTTTGAAAGTTAAACATTATTTAATGAAAAATGCACTCTTGCCGATTTTATCGTGCACATAAGGTGACATTGCAATCGTTTATTTTAAAAATATTTTTGAAGTATACCGAGTTGATGTAGGGCTTTATAATATTAAACAATATTATAAATAATTACATTTTATACAAATTTTTCAAATATACTACTTACACTCTTCAGTTTGAAAGTTAAAAACTATTTAATGAAAGAATGCACTCTTGCTGATTTTATCGTGCACATAAGGTGACATTGCAATAGCTTATTTTAAAAATATTTTTAAAGTATACCGAGGTGTTGTAAGTTTAGACAATATTATAAATAACTATTTTTTGTACAAATTTATCAAATATTTTATTAACGTTTAAAAAAATTCTGAAAAGTTACAAGAGATTTATTAAATAAATACACAAAATTTAAAATAACATTGTTATTAAAGAAGGTGGAATGTACTGGATTAACTCAAATATTCAGTAACTGCATTGAAATTAATTTAGTTATAGTTTTGTAATAAAAATAAAATAAAGTTACATGAAATTTTATAAAAAATACACAAAATTAAAAAAATAATAAATAAAAATGTTATTGTTAGCAAAAATTCTCTGTTTTAACTCATGCACTTTCAGTATTTTTTTATTGTTTATATATCGATCGACAGATATTAAAATTAAACTAGTTTAATAAATAATAAACTCAGCAATAATATTCTGTATATTTTTAATGAAAATTCAACTTAAATGTATTACAAAATGCATTTCTTTCTGCACCGATGCATTTTATCATGCCCATTGCACATGTTTCGACTTAATGTTCCTTTTTAGTTTAAAATTGTATTGTGTATTCTGTTTCCGTTCAAAATGCGATTAGATTGCCTGACATTGTTCAAACAGTTATTATTATTATCTAAAAACAATATGCAGATAATAGATAAATTCTAAATTATCTGAAAAATGGCCCCGAAAAAAGTACTGACCCTTACAACACAGAATTTTACAGGCAAGTTTTTATTTGTGCATTTATTATAACTCTTGTAAGTTTTAAATAGTTAGTCTAATGCAAATATGATATTTAGGGGAAATGTTTAAAATTAAATTGTTTATAATATTGTCTAATATTATATAACCCTACAGCAACTCGGTGGGCTTTAAATTTGTCCTTAAGTACGGGATGATATTTGAAATGCGTTAAAAGTACATTTGTGTATTATATCTTCTCTTGTAACTTTTAAACGATTTGTTTGATGTAAATGAAATATTAGATGAATTTATTCAGAATAGGATAGTGTTTAATTTTGTCTAATGTTATAAAGCCATACAGCAACTCGCTATACTTTAAAATTGCACTTGAATTTAAAAAATCATTGTAAGCGTATTTATATTTTATATTCATCATACCTCCTAAACCAATCGCTTAATTTAAATGATGTATGAGACAAATTTGTTTATAATTAAATAATATATAATATTGTCTAATATTATAAAGCCCTACAGCAATTCAATATACCCTAATTACACTAATGTTCACCTACTCTATTTATATACAATATTCTATTTATTAAATGTTTTAAAAACGTGTTTATAATATTATTTAATAACTTTTTTACCATTCGATTAATATGAATGACGAATTAAACAAATTAATGATATATGTTATTTATTTATATAAAAAAATTCTTTAACAACTTGAGATTTTTGAATAAAATAAACTGCATAAATTTATCATTACAATTATTATTATTGTTGTTTTTAAAATTATGAATTATAAAAATTACTGACTGAAATTTGTTTTTAAAATTTATTTATTTATTTAATTTGATCCTTTTCCAGCAAAAGTATTTCTTAAAAAAGAAAATTCAACGAAGCAAATAAAATATAATAAATATTGAAAAAATGTATTTAATACTTAAATATAAATTGCGTATAAATATATACATTATTATTACTTACTTAAATTAATTTTTAACTATTACAAATCAATATCACAGATTTTGTATCACTTTAAACACTTTTATTATAAATTTCAACACTAAAAGTCACATTTTTATATAAATTGCACATTTTTTGCAAAAACCATTCAAATTTTCACTACCAGTCTCTAAAAAACTTAAATTCAAATGAAGAAAAAATTAAAATTTAATTGTTCCAATTATTAGGGAACAAAAAACAAATTTTTATCACAAGTATCTAGAAACTTATGTGAAAAATTTTTTTTTTTAAACGACACAATTTTATTTATATTAAAAAATAATAGAGAATACTAAATTTTATATTTATTTTATTTTATACTAAATAAAGTATAACAATTGAATACTTAATTTTTTTATAAATTTAAAATAATTATTTTTCAGAGAATATTTTTTATCTATATATTAATAATAAAAAAAAGTATTTTGCACCAAGTTTTCTTTTATATATTATTTTGTGACTAATTGTAAGTAATTTTTGTTATCTTTTCACAAATTTTCCA